CAATATCTTGTAAGAAGTTTTCCTCTTATCACATGCATACACATGTTTGTTGGTCATAGACACCACTAGAAAGATCTACCACAAAACATATTTATTGCCCAGCTAATGCTAATTAGAGTAGTAGCTCCATGTTAACAACCACCTTGACTATTTGAATCATTATGAGCCATAGCCTTTGTGATTTTAAAACCTTGTCAAAAGATTGGTTATCGTTGATGGATGATGATGTTCTTAATGGGAAAGTTGGTTTATGATTTATGTCTGAGTTTGGAAAAGTTGTTAAAAGTCGTTTTCATTTTTCCTTTTATATTTAAAGAGAAGAACTTGAGGGCTCTTGATTTCGATTAATACACATTATATTTGGTTACCTGTTTATTTATGTGTTTATGATCTTTCTTGGAGTCTATTCCATTAGTTACAATTACAAGTATTTTAACACTCGAAGTGGTAGGAAAACTTTTCTAAAAGCCTGTATTTGAAGAAGTGTCAAGTTCTTTTCTTTACTGGGATCGACACTTACACAAAATGAAAAGCAAGAGTATATGTGTGTAGTATGGAGCACGTGGTTTATTTTTTATATGATTAAATCTATAAACTTGAACTTATTTTGATGCCAATGTATTACATATTTGTTCAAATAGTTGGTAATTCATGATCTTTTTTTTTATTTATTCTACTTCTCCTTTTACCGTTCCCATGTTGTTAAATAGAATTCCTTTCCTTATTATCCTATTTCCCCAACTTCCACTAGTTTTCTTTCTTAAGAGTTTTGGTACATTTATTTTGTTGTCTAGATCCTTCTCCTGTAAATTGTTGTAAATTTACAAGGTTATTGGTTTTGTTCACTTGATGATTAAGCGCCAATATGTGTCTCGGGAAGTGCTTGTTGCTATGGTTCGATGATTGATTAGAATAAACTATAAGCTTCTTTTTTCTCTTTTCCCCACCTCACCTGTCCTCTCTCACCTTTCTTTGCTTTTATCTGTTCCACCTGTAAGTGTTATGTAGGCATTGCATATCATATTACTCCTGTTGCAATGTTTATGTGCTGCATACCTGTTATTTTTTGCTGTTGAAAGTGCATGTCTGGAAATGCTTACTGTTATCTTAAATCGGTATATTAGTTCTTACTCCAAAAACTTAACTCCCCACTGCCCTGCACTAGCTCCAATACACTTATGTAGATTAATATCTATGTCATTTACTACCGACAGAACATTTAGGTTCATGTGTGCTTTAGTGGGTAAGTTGAACGAGGGCATTTAGGGGGTTAAGTTGAGAAGCATATCACATTTTTGTAGCAGAGGCAGGATCGTCTAAGATTTTCTTTTTCCTTTTTTGTTTGGGTCATGAATTTTGCTTTGCCTATCCATTGTTTGACTCGGGCAAACTTTAACTTTAAATATTTTATGTTCATAGTTTAAACAATATTTTCTTCATTATTAGGCTGAAAAGTTAACTCTTACATTTTTACAGTTTTTCTTTCATATCCAAAAAGTTTATACCAATAGTTTAAACTAGCCCGTGGCAAAGCGTGGGCTTGCCACCTAGTATTAATAAAATTTTCAACTAAAATATATTTAATTATTTTAATTATTTATACAATATATAATTCTAAGGAAAAAAATTAAGTGTTACAAATGCAAAAAGAGCCATTCGAGATGAAGGTGAAGTGGTGAGTCTTCAGGTGCCACGCATCTGGTCCTTTGGGGCAGCGCGTTCGTAATTTAGCAAAGTTTCGAATGAGGGCCCTGGACCAAAGAATGATATGTTTGTGCCTTAAACGATATGGAAACCGAAAGATTCACTGATGCTCGAATGGCAGTTTCCTTCCTATGGGTTGGGTTAAATCAGGACATCAACAGCTAACCATCGGTTCTTGGACTAAATGGTGCTACAATGACATCTCGCTAGTGCCACCTTTTTTCTTGGAAAAAAAAAAACACATGCAAAAAGAATGGTAAAAAATAAAAAAATAAAGTATTTAATGAAAAGTTACATGGAGCCAACAAGGGTGAAGAAGAAAGGAACAAGTGGACTAATCTGACATTTTTATGATTTTGTGAAAGAAGGTAGAGACAGGAGTAGACGTGATACGGTATTTTTTTTTTATTAGGTTATATATAATATTATAAAATTTTAAATTTTAATTTAATTCAAACTTAACACTTTTAAAATTAATCTAAATTCAATTCAATTAATTCGATTTTCTTTGATTTATCAAATTTTAAAAATTAACTTTTATAATGCTTTAATATATTTAAATAGATTTTGATATAAAATGATTATTTTTATTTTATAAAAATTTATAATATATTACAACATTTAAATTCAAAAACTTGATTATTAGACACAAAAACATAGAGTCATCATTGTCGTAACAATTTTAAGGACCATTAAACGAATTTGAAAACAAAAGATTGAGTCCATTAATCTTTTTTGGTTAGGTATAATTGATCACCTATTAAAACCTACATTCTTAATAAAATTTTAAAACTAATTAAAATTTATTAAAAAGATAATTTTTTTGTCTGCGAAAATAGTTTAGATTCGGAAGTCGGTTAAGCGTAAAGAAGGATTAGCACCTCCACAATGTCTGTTTAAAACGATATCAATTAATTCTATATTTTTCTTTAACTATAACTAAAATGGTCTTAATTTTGGTATTTAAAATTTAATTTCCTCAATTTTTTTTAAAAACATATTTTTAATTTTTAGTAAGCTTGAAAAATAAATAAGAACCTTATATTAAAAATTTTCTAAAAATATTTCAGTACTTTGACAATATTAAAAGGAACCACCTCACTTAAAGAATTTTTAAGAATCGTTACTCGAAATTCTCAAAATTTTATCATCGGTGCTTCATATTTATTTCTAGTATTTATGTTAAAAAAATAAAATATGATATCTATAATTTTAAAACAAATAGTATTTTCTAAAACACATTTCTATGCCATTTATAAACAAGCAAAAAATCTTTATCGAAAATTAATCTAAATGCTCTAATACTTTAGTGGCATTTTAGATAGACTTATTACCAAAAAATTTCTAAAAAATTTCTATTCAAATTACTTTAGGATCTCATCCTTAGAGATTTTTTGTTTATTTTTTAAAAATTATTGAAAGTCATATAATAATATAATTATCTACAAATATATTTATTTCCTAAAAAACACACTTTTATTTATTAAGAAAACTATTCAAATTATAGAAAATAATTATAAAATAAAAATTTTTGAATTGAAAAGAAACTAAATATTCCAATACCTTGATAATTTTTAAAAGACTTTTCTCACCTAAATAATTTTCGAAAATCACTACTTAGATTTCCCGAAATCCCATCATTAGAAAATTCTCGTTACTTAATTTTATTATTAAAAAAATGCATGCTTTTATAAATATTTATATTTTCTTACTTTTTTACAAGAATTATTCAAATTAATTAAATATTTTGTATCGAAAAAAATTTCTAAATATTTTATTACTTTTGTAATTTTTAGAAATCTTTTATCACCTAAAGATTATGTATTGCAAAATAATAAAGCAAAATATGCATCCAAAAAAATATAATATTTATCTTTTTTTATTACTTGTTTTAATTTTGTTTTAATTTTTTTAATTATTTCACAATTATCATTAAAAATTTTTGAAAGGAACAAAATAAAATCTTTTGTTGAAAAATTTCTAAGATATCTCGAAATTTTAGTAATATTTTAGAAAAAAAATTTTATCCAGAGATTTCGTAAGAATTTCTATTCAAATTTTCTTAAAATCCTATCCTCAAAGTCCTCAAAGATTTCATTTATTTATTATATTTTTATCTTCACCAGGCTTTCATTCATCAACATAAAGACTTGGAAAACCAGAAAACATGGACTTTTAGACCAGCAATTTTCGAACCTTCATGAGCCGAAAATTAAAATATTTACAAGAGCTAAACATCATAAAATCTAGTGTAGTTAGACTTGAAAGTTGAAGGATAATTTAAATGAGCCTTTGAACTTAAAGAACATAGAATTAAAGTAACAAAAAAATAAAAAAAAAAAGGATCCAAAATGCATGGACTTTTAAACAGAATAAAAAATCAATACAAGATTTAAAGGCAGCCATTACAAATCATGAAAATGCATGCAAAAAGAAAACATTATATTCAGGTAACAAAGGATCCTATAAGTGATGTCTCAACTTAATGGCATCCAAATACCTACCATGTCTAAGCTTAAACAACCTTGAAAAGCGAAAAAAGAAAAGAAAAACAAGAACTATAAAGAAGAAAACCTAGAAGATGAAGTTAAAAAGGATGTATTTTTTATTTAAAAAAAGGTGTTTTAGCACTTAAATTTTGGGAAATTTAACAACCAAAATAGGAGACTTAAGGAAGAGAAAATAATAAGGTAAACCTATAAACAACTTTCCAGACCTTGGTTAACATATAGTAGCAGCCCGGTTTTGACTTCTCTAACCCAACAACACTATGATGTTCCAGTTTGAATCTTAAGATAGTTAAAACAAGTACAAGGGATGGGAGACAACTTAAGAAGCCAACAAAGAAACAAATGGGGAAGGTAATAAAATACCAACCAAGACTGCCACTGCTCAATGAGAATGAACAGAGCAGAAATGGCATTTCCCAAATAAATTGCGGTCTCCCCCCTAAATTTACATCTAATACTAGCTAAATAGAAAAGAAACAATGGACAAATGGATCATAAGAGGGGACTGACTAAACCCACGAAATGGCAGCCCCCTTTTAGACGCTAATTAAAGGAAATAAAAATCTAGTTTTTTTTTAGAAAATACTATATTTACTGCACTAACACAATGAGGTTTATCTGGTTTTTAGACTATGCTATCACCGCTTCTAGTTTGTTGGTGCATGACATAGTAGACTAATCAACATAATAATACAGTTGAGACTTGAGAGCAATAAAGTTTAGATAATATTTAATGAACAGCAAAATGGATGATATGAACTACCCCCAGTTTGAAGCCTCTATACTTCAAGTACGAGCAGTAGCCGGTGCTCTTGCAGGATGTGCAGCTTGACCAGGAGCACCAGGTTTTGGCAGATCCTCTTGAAGTTTAAAGCGTTGAGGTGGATCACGAATCCTCCTATCAGTGCAAGATCGGACCCTCACAACATGAGAGTGGATTGTACATGAAACGCAGTACTGCATCTTTGCATAAAGCTTGGGAAGGGTGTAAGTTTCATAAACGCAAGCTTTTTGAACATCCCTAACTGCAGCTTGCTCAATAATATTCCTCACCAAAAACCTCTTGATAGTTTTGTCCTTGGGACAACATTTGCCGCAGTTAGAGCAGCGAATGAACTTGACATGGCCACGGCCGTTCTTGTTTCTCCCTCCAATCATTCGCTTGAAAGTCATCTTGAAAGTTGAAAGGGAAATAAAGGAACTACCTTTTCAAAACAATTCTCCAAGAACTACTACTTTCTTTTCCTTCGTCAAGCTCCCACTTTTGCTTTAAGCTTTCCTTTTCTTGAGTTTCCCCTAGCTGTAAGACCTTTTTTTTTTTTTTTAGCCACCAAGAGATCTTCTTCACTTCTTTTTTCTGGTTTCCTCTAAGAAACCTTTAGCATATCAAAGTATAATTTTTTAAAGGCTTTCTTCCTCCTCTTTTTCTTCCTTTTTTTTTTTTTTTTAAGAAGCTACTTCTTTTTTCTCTTTCCTTTCATCTTTTCTCCTCTTTTCAACAGACCCCTCTTTTCCCCTAGGTTTTTTCAGCTCTTTCTGTCAGCAAACCCTTCCTCAAAGTATCTCTTTTGTTGGTGAGTATAGGCCCTTGGATCCAATCTTATCCAATCTTATCCAATCGTCAAAGTTTCTTCTTTTTTTTTCAAGGAACAAACTTTGCCCATTGGATCAAGATCAATGAGAGATCTAATGGTCCACATTATTAACTACAAAAATTGAATTTTTATAGCCTCTAAACCCATGAAAAAACTATTTTACCCCTAGTACAAAATTTTCAGTATTTAGATTATTTTCTTATAAATCAATGTTCCCATCCTCATTTTTAAGAATTTAAAACAACAAAAATCATTAAAATATTATAAAATTGAGATCTAAAAATTTTTATGAAAATTCGAGCTTGAAAAGGTCAAATTACGAAATTACCCCTATAGAGGTATTTTGGTAATTTCAAATTTTTTGGGGTGCTGCTATGATTTCAAATGTACCAAAAATCATGAAATGTTATGAAATTACAATCTGAAAAGTTTCATAAAAATTTTAGGTCGGGAAGGCCAATTTATTAAAATACCCCTAAAGGGTATTTTAGTAAATTTGATACTTTTCCTAGTGCAATAAAAATTTTTAGCATTTTGAAAATCACCAAATTTAATTTTAAATTATATGGATTCCAATTAGGTTGTGACTTTGAGGATTAACCTTAGTTCTATTCATTTTAGCCAAGTTTTGTATAATTTTAACTAGAGTTAACTTTAAGGTTTACTCATTTTATTTACTCTTTATTTCTCATGCATCTACGTGAAAAAGTATCATCCATATAAATCCCATACGAAAGAGTTTGATAGTAATCTTATAGGTCTCCTTTTTTCTTTGTTTATTATAGGCCTAAATATCGATGCATTTCATGGGCTCTTTAAAAGGCCTTTTTACGGGCTTCAAATGAGTTTTGTTTGGGTTTCTAAATAGGCCAATTTATGGGCTCTTTATGAGTTATAAATGGGCCTCGGTTAACCATGCTAAAATATTACAGATAAAATTCGATGTTTACAGCTATACCTCTTTGTATATTTTTTAAAATAAAAAATAATACAAAGATATAGACAATAATTTTTTTTCAGATGATGCTCTTGAAAGTTTTTTTTTTTGTTTTTTAGGACCTTTTTTTATTTTTGAAAATGGTTTCCCCTAAACAAAAGTTTTGAAAATCTTCTCTTTTTTTTTTTTGAACTTGTTTGAAAATGGCTCTCTGTAAATAGAGGTTTTGAAACTTTTAAAATGTTGTCTGAAAATGGCTCATCCTAAATAAAGGCTTTAAAACTTTAAAATCTTATGTGAAAATGGCTCCCTCAAAAAAAAAGCTTCAAAACTTTAAAATTTTGTCTGAAAATGGCTCATCCCAATGAGAGGCTTTGAAACTTTAAAATCTTGTATAAAATTGGCTCTCCCCAAACAAAGGCTTCGAAATTTTAAAATCTTATTTGAAAATGGTTCCCCCTAAATAGAGACTTTAAAACTTTAAAATTATATTTGAAAATGACTCTTCCTAAACAGAGGCTTTGAAATTTTAAATCTTATGTGAAAATGGCTCTTCAAAATTTTAAAATCTTTTTTTAAAAATGGCTCCTCCTAAATAGAGGCTTTGAAACTTTAAAGTCTTGTCTGAAAATGGCTCTTCCTAAATAGAGGCTTTGAAACTTTAAAATCTTGTTTTTTTTTTCTCTCTATCTTTTTTTTTTGTTGATTTTTGTTGACTTCTTTTGTTTTGTTTTTTTTTTTTTTTTTTTTTTTTGCAATTTAATAAACTTGACCATTTGCAAACAATTAAACAAAAACTTAATAACTTTTGAAAATAAAATAAAAGATCACACCCAAAGGTCTTACAAATCTCAAAATTAAAATAAATTCAGCTCAAATTACTTACAAAACCTATTTAGAGGACTTAGAAAATTATGTTTGGAGGTTTTACAAATCTTGAAATAAAAATAGATTCAGCTCGAAAGACTTAGGAATCTTGTCGGAGAACTTACAGATTATGCTCGGAGGTCTTAGAGATTACACTTGGAGGTCTTACAAATCTCAAAATTAAAATAGATTCAGTTCAAAAAACTTATGAATCTTGCCCGAAAGATTTACAGATTATGCTCGAAGGTCTTAGAGATTATGCTTAAAGGTCTTAAAGATTTTGTGTAGAGGTTTTAAAAATCTCAAAATTTTTGAATGCTTCTCATAATAGAGAAATTAAAACTTTAAAAATTTAAAACGTTTTGCCCGGAAGTCTTAAAGATAATGCTTGGAGGTCTTATAAATCTTAAAATTAAAATAGATTTAGCTTAGAAGACTTATGAATCCTGTTGGGAGGACTTACAGATTTGCCTAGAGGTCTTATAGATTATACCCATAGATTTTAGAGATTGTGCTCGGAGGTTTGAAAAATCTCAATCTTTGAATGCTCTTCATAATAGAGGCATTGAAACTTTGAAAATTTAAAATGTTTTACTCGGAGGTCTTACAGATCTCAAAATTAAAACAGATTCAATTCAAAAAGTCTTATGAATCTTACTTGGAAGACTTACAGATTATGCCTAGAGGTCTTAGAAACTATGCCCAAAAGTTTTAGAGATTGTGCCTAGAGGTCTTAAAAATCTCAATATTTGAATGCTCCTCATAATAGAGGCATTGAAACTTTGAAAATTTAAAATGTTTTGCTTAGAGATCTTAAAAATTATGCCCAAAGTTTTTACAAATCTATCTAGGTGCCAGCTTAACTGGACTTAAGTCTTATATTGTATCATATTTCTTCTTTTCCATTTTTTCAATAATTTTTTTGCTTTTTGCAAATCATTTTTCTTTCAACTTTTCAAACCTTTTTGATACTTTGATTTTCTATCAAACTAATTTTTTTCTTTTTCTCATATTTTCATAATAAACTCTTTTTTTCTCTCTCTTTTTTTTTAAATATTTACAAAGTTGATAAATGCAATCATGATATAAATGTTTATTCTCATCAAATGATGCTAATGAAAATGTCGATGCGAATGCAAATGTCAATGCAAATGTAAGAATGTGAATGCTTGATGCAAATACATTTGACTTTTTCATAATGCAAATGATAATGTTCCTTTCATGTAAATGCCCTTACAAATAATTTTATAATGCAGATGCCATGCTGCAAATGCAAATTTCTTTCTTATGATGTAAATGCAAATGCTTGTGTAGGATGTAGATAATATAAATGCAAATGTCTTTCTCATGATGCACATGCAAATACGAACATAAATGATACAAATGTGAATGTCTTTTTTGTGATGTAAATGCAAATGATGCTAATGGGAATGTCTTTTTTGTGATGTAAATGTGAATGCAAATATCTTTCTCATGATGTACACGTAAGTACGAATGCGAGTGATGCAAATATGAATTTTTTTTTGTTTTTTTTTCACTTTTTTTATAGCAATAGATCTAATGTCTTTCTTATGATGCACATACAAGTATGAATGTGAATTTTTTTTTTTTTTTGCATATGAAATAACCTTCTTATGATACAAATGTGAAAGCAAGTAATGTAAATGTAAAGGCTCTTTTTTATTTTTGCAACATGTAAATTAAATGTCTTTTTGACAATGCACATCTAATTTATGCAAATGTGATTTTTTTTCTTTCAGTATACTGGTCAAATGTCTTTTGTAATTAATGCAAATTTAAAGACTTTTTTTGTTTCATTTTGTTTCATCATTTTTTTTTAAAACTTTGTTCAATTTTAAGGTTTACTCCTCACCAAAAATGATCTTAATATCTTAAACAAAAATACTCAATTAACCTCCAAAGTTTTTCAAAGTAATCATAAAATTGTCCTACATAAAGTATTTTTGTATTCAATAAGAAAAATTAAAAACAAATAACTTTCGAATATCTCATAAATCGATGATTACTATTTAGAATGCTTATGGATGGCATAATTGGCAATTCAATTTTTTCACTGGTGGGCATATTTCAAAAAAAGCTCAATGATTACTATTTGGAATGTTTGTGGATTGGGTGATTGACAACTCAATTTTTTTTTCACTAGTTGGCATATTTCAAGGAAAACTCAACGAGGATCGTAAGGATTTATCTTGGTCTCATAAACGAGATAATTTTTTTAAAACACTTTTCTTTTATTGAAAACATGATATTTTAATGTGCACCAAAACTAATCAATATTTTTTAAAAGATTTGGGAAAATAAGAGGGCTAGTTTTTTATTTTTGTGCTTTGGTGAAATGCAAAGTCTTTAATGGGTATTGATCCTTTATAAGGTTTTGCATCGTGACTTTTTATTTTGATAATACCTTGAAACTCTTTTTTTTTTTTTGGGTCTCAAAAGTGGCTATGCTCTAAACTGCCCTTTTTGGGTTTTTACCTTTGAGCTATATTTTTTAACAATGAAAAACTTAGTAAAATCTTGTCAAATAATAGGTATATACAAATTTTCAAGGACATTTCTCTTCAATTTAAGTGTCCATTTTTTTTTATCAAAATAGACTTTTCAAGGTATATAATGCAAGCCAAGGTTTGAGGTTTTGAAAGAATGGATAGCCTCATATTCTATTTACCTGATGTTCTAACCTTACTATCCAACCATCAATAATGTCTTTCCAAGTCCTTATGCTCATCAACCAGTCATATAGTCACTCAACT